GCCCAAACCCCTTCCCGTTCCTCTGGATCACGTGGGCATCCAGGTGCCTGTCCTCCCCTTCGTCTCTCCAGGCCCAGCGGGCTGACTCACACTCGGGCCTCCACTAGGCCTGTCCTCTCCTTTGTGTCTCCAGGCCCAGCGGGCTCACCCACACTCGGACATCCACTAGGCCTGTTCCCCCTCTCTCCAGCCGAACCTGGTCACCCAAGATTAACCTGTCTGTCAACGGGATACAGCTCTGCCAAAAGAATCGCCGAACTTTTGAATCGCAATTCTTTCCCTCAAGCCATAATGGAGCCCGAAAAAAAGAGAAAGGTTTCCGCCGTGTGGGAACATTTTGATCTTACATCGGCAAATAAGGTATTTGTTTTTATTTCCTTGTTTCATCCTGTTCCTCAGTTTCCACTTGATCTATCAGAATTCCAATCCATTTCAAAGCGACTCTTACTTTAAATTATTCATTTTATTTCCTGCAGGTTAAAAGTCGTATTTGTTGGACAGAACTGTCCTACATTAATAAAAGCACCTCGTCAGTGCTGAGGCTTCACCCAGCGAGCCATGAACATGAGGAGGTCACACATGACCAAGACCCAGCACAGGTATACAGACATTTTACAACTTCATCGTGATCGCTTTATTGATAAATAAATCAGATTGTTTTTTTTGTTTTTTTTATTACTTCATTTTTGACCATCAAGCTTCCAGAAAGCGTGCCTTGGACGAGGCAATTCTCAATTTTATTCTTAAGGACTGCCAGCCCCTCAGCATTGTGGAGAGTGAAGGATTCGGGGAACTGCTTCAGGTCCTTGAGCCATCATACGTTTTGCCAACCAGAAAGGTTTGTATAGAAAATGTTTAGAGAAGTAGTTGATATATCCAATTTATTTAATATTTAATTTAAATATATTGATTTGCTTTTGGTTTAACTTGGTTCAATTTTCAGACTGTCAAAGAAATGGTGGCCAAAAAATATGAGAAGGAACGAGAACGAGTGAAAAAGGAAGTACAGCAAGCTGTGGCAGTGAGTATAACAGCTGACATGTGGACATCTGTGAACATGGAGGCTTACTTGGCTCTTACTTGTCACTACGTTAAAGAGAATATGCAGTTGTGTACATCTGTGTTAAGAGTATAACACTTTCCACAAAGTCACACTGCTGACAATTTGGCCCACGTCAAAAGGGGCATGATGGATGACTGGGCCATAACCAATAAAGTAAAGTGTCTTGTGACAGCACCAAACATGGTTTCATCTGCAAAAGGTCTACAAATTCGGCACTCAATTTGCATTGCACACACACTAAATTTAATACTTAAAAAATCATGCGATCAAATTCCTGCACTTACATCAATCAGACACAAATCCAGGCAATACATACTTCAGATCAAGCACCACAGCCAAAGAGAAGCTTGCTCAAGTGCAGCAACAGATGGAACGGCCAACCCTGAAACTCATCAATGAGGTGCCAACACGCTGGAATAGCACATATCAGATGCTGTTAAGGCTGCATGCTGAGAAGGCACCAGTGTGGGTATCTCTGGCCTCACTAACAACAAGCATAACTCCACTTATAGCTGATGAGTTCACCATTATAGGAGAAAGAGTTTCAGGGTCAAAGGTCATCCCCATGATGAAAATGTTCTATCATGCACTTGAGTGTAATGCTTCAAATTTGCATACATAGCCGGCAGTACACCTCCACGATCACCTTAGGCATCGAGTCACAGATGCTGCTTCCAATCTGGAGTCATTTAGTGTGTTGTCCTTATCAACACTCTTGAACCCCAGATTTAAATCACTTGGGTTTCGTAGTTCCTCAAAATGCAGCGAAGCAGTCAATCGACTGAAATCAGAATGTGCGGCTGTACTTGGGCGCACATTAACTGAGCCACAGCCTGGACCTTCTTCACAACAGCTATCAGAACCCACTTTAGGCATGTTATTCAGTTTTGTCAGTTTGTTGTACTTTTATTTGCCTGCAAATCATGTAGCAAGATGCCAATTTGTTTTTTGTTTTTTTTAGATAACCTGTGGCAGCACCTTGATGAGGAAGTTAGCAGGCAGACCACCAGCGTCACAGCCGATTCAATCATTGAGGTTCAGCGGTACCTGGCAGAGACGAACATTCCAAGATCCCAGGATCCGCTGAAATACTGGGAAACCCAGAAAAACCAGTACCCAAACCTCTTCCGGCTGTCCCTAGAGTTTTTGTATACACCAGCCTCCTCGGTGCCGTGTGAGCGGGTGTTCTCTAAAGCAGGAGAACTTGC